GGCATTAATCAGAGAGGCAACAAAGAGACCAAAGATAACCCTGAAGGAGCTGCAAAGCTCCACAGCGGAGATTGGAGTATCTGTCCATAGTACCACTTTAAGCCGTACACTCCACAGAGCTGGGCTTTACGGAAGAATGTCCAGAAAAAAAGCCATTGCTTAAGAAAAAAAATAAGCAAACACATTTGGTGTTCGCCAAAAGGCATGTGGGAGACTCCCCAAACATACGGAAGAAGCTTTTTGGCCATCAAGGAAAACGCTATGTCTGGCGCAAACCCAACACCTCTCATCACCCCGAGAACACCATCCCCACAGTGAAGCATGGTGGTGGCAGCATCATGCTGTGGGATGTTTTTCATCGGCAGGGACTGTGAAACTGGTCAGAATTGAAGGAATGATGGATGGCACTAAATACAGGGAAATTCTTGAGGGAAACCTGTTTCAGTCTTCCAGAGATTTGAGACTGGGACGGAGGTTCACCTTCCAGCAGGACAATGACCCTAAGCACACTGCTAAAGCAACACTTGAGTGCTTTAAGGGCAAACATTTAAATGTCTTGGAATGGCCTAGTCAATGGCCAGACCTCAATCCAATTGAGAATCTGTGGTATGACTTCAAGATTGCTTTACTCCAGCGGAACCCATCCAACTTGAAGGAGCTGGAGAAGTTTTGCCTTGAAGAATGGGCAAAAATCCCAGTGGCTAGATGTGCCAAGCTTATAGAGGCATACCCCAAGAGACTTGCAGCTGTAATTGCTGCAAAAGGTGGCTCTACAAAGTATTGACTTTGGGGGGGGGGGGTGAATAGTTATGCATGCTCAAGTTTTCAGTTTTTCTTATTTCTTGTTTGTTTCACAAGAAAAATTATTTGCATCTTCAAAGCGGTAGGCATGTTGTGTAAATAAAATGATACAAACCCCCCCCAAAAAATCAGTTTTAATTCCAAGTTGTAAGGCAACAACATAGTAAAAATGCCAAGGGGAGTGAATACTTTCGCAATCCACTGTATATCTATCCTCACTCTGCATTGGCTTTGGTTACTGATGTGTCTCCTACCACTTCTAGTGAAGCTTTTAACTGTCTCTCTGAGCCTTGAGGCTGTCAGACTTGCTGCTATCTGAATGGTATGGGATTGGAGGTAAGCCTGCAACAGACAGAATGGAGGCAACTTACATTTTTGTCGTGCTGTACACACTTAACGTTACTGTGGAATGAATGAGTTTCCTGAAACAACAAGGCATCATGCATGTGTTTCTGAATGTTTCTAATTGTCTCCTGAGTCATTATAGGTTTTATGTTTAAGACCCGGGATGCATGGATGTCTTTTATTGACATAATTAGCCTGGAGTCTGTTCACTGCAGTGTTTTGTGCCAACTTCACCAACACATAGGAGTATGTTCACTGCAGTGTTTTGTGCCAACTTCACCAACACATAGGAGTCTGTTCACTGCAGTGTTTTGTGCCAACTTCACCAACACATAGGAGTCTGTTCACTGCAGTGTTTTGTGCCAACTTCACCAACACATAGGAGTCTGTTCACTGCAGTGTTTTTTTGCCAACTTCACCAACACATAGGAAAAGACCACACTGTCAGTGTCCATGCCTTCTCAGAATATTATGGCCTGGTTTCCACACCCACGGATTCTCCATTGAGCCTGCATGTTAGTCCAAGAGGGGTTCACCTGGGTTCAGGAAACCATTTTCACTTTCTCTCCCATTGAAACCAATGCATGACTAAGTGAACATTTTGACCCCTAAATGATTAAATGTTTGATTCAGTCCCTCTGTCTACAGCTCACTGTGTTCTCTCTCTCTGTCCAGGGCATCGAGCGTCTGAAGGGGGAGCAGGCCAGGTGGGAGAAGACTTCATGCTGGGAGGCCATGAAGTCAGTGTTTGGAGGGCCCTTCTCCCCATCCTGGCTCAGCCCCTTCTCTGACCTCCAGTGTAAGAGGGATCCCAATGCCCACGTGGTGGTGCCACAGGGGGAGATCATCGAGGAGGACGTCATAGAGATACCACTGGTCTAGTATCATAGACTCCCATAGAAATAGAACGAATAGAATGGGCGTGGCACCTATAACCCTGGCAATTAGACTGGTTAACTCATGGGTACGCTCGCTATTGATGCCTGGTTATAACCCTGGCCATTAGACTGGTTAACTCATGGGTACGCTCCCTATGGATGCCTGGTTATAACCCTGGCCATTAGACTGGTTAACTCAGGGGTACGCTCCCTATGGATGCCTGGTATTGTGATCCATTATGCTGCCATTGACTTAATAATAATGATCAGGAGGGTGCTTTCATTGGTTCCTGTTTCACACATGGACAAGTATGTATTATACGCATGAGTGAATTGGACATTTCATTTTTTGCATATCCCAACTCCCCCTGAGACACCCTGTGGGGTCTGGACTAGGCTTGAATGGGGACGCCAGTTCTATTCATTCTATTTCTATAGAGACTCCACTGGTCTAGTGTGGTGTCTTCCTACAGTGCTACTGCTGATTGGACCAAAGCCTTAAAGGGGCTCTATCCTTAGAATGACCCACAAAATGTCCAGGTCTATGCCCCTGGCGATGTGAATGAGGTGTAAGTTCGACGGGGACGAGTTGGATTGACCCAAACGTGCTCTTTCAGTACTCAAGAGCATCCCATGCATACACAGCTCTGCATGGTTCAGTTGTGTTGAGGGAAGAGCTCTAGAAGTGACCTGTGGACTGTGCAGAATCTAGACTGTCTGTGGCCTTCCTCTACTCTTACTTCACTGAGTGCCTTTATAAACTGTCAAACTGAGAATTGACAGTTACTAGCCTTATTCTGCAAGGTATGCAGGTGGTAACAGTTTTTAACCTTTTTTTTATGTCTGTATTATCATGTCAGAGAATTACATTACCTTTATAAGTGTGTTTTTATTAAAGGGCCTTATCTAAAAATTCCATTATTAATGTTCAATAACATTCAAATGTTAACATACAATTGTCATGCATTTATTATCATTGTCTTAATCTGGAACATGAAGCGCAAACACTATGTTATTGAAGGGGGGTTAGATGATAGCGTTGGGGGGTTAGATGATAGTGTAGGGGGGTTAGATGATAGTGTAGGGGGGTTAGATGATAGTGTAGGGGGGTTAGATGATAGTGTTGGGGGGTTAGATGATAGCGTTGGGGGGTTAGATGATAGCGTTGGGGGGATAGATGATAGCGTAGGGGGGTTAGATTATAGCGTTGGGGGGTTAGATGATAGCGTTGGGGGGTTAGATGATAGTGTAGGGGGGTTAGATGATAGCGTTGGGGGGTTAGATGATAGCGTTGGGGGGGTTAGATGATAGCGTTGGGGGGTTAGATGATAGCGTTGGGGGGTTAGATGATAGCGTTGGGGGGTTAGATGATAGCGTTGGGGGGTTAGATGATAGCGTTGGGGGGTTAGATGATAGCGTTGGGGGGTTAGATAGTAGCAAAGGGGGTTTAGATGGTAGTGAAGGGGGGGTAGATGGTAGTGAATGGTTGTACTGCACTTTATCCTTTTGTACAGGATGGTAATACTACGATGGTTACCAGGGAGGACTTCTACAGTCAAATGAAAGCTCCATATCATGGGACCACTATTGTTTACTCTAACATTTGAATAAAAGGGAATGATACTATCTTAGTTCATCCATGGATTGATTGGTTCTCAAATTAGCTCGACTACAGAATAAAGAACATGTCAGTCAGAGATTAAGTGACAAGATATTTCATGTAAAGGTTTATTTACAAAACTCTTATTTCGATGAATTGATATGCATTTAGTCTTACTGGTCATTACAATATTTTCTATAAAATATACATCTTAATGGTAGTATTCAAAATGCATTGTTTGCATAATAATGTGTAGTGGAGGAAAGCCTGACCATGTTTGTGTTCAGACCGTGGTTATATCATACCAAGAGACAGCAAGACAATAGAAACATGTCAGTTATAACATGCCATGTTAGAATCCATGTACCGTCAGTTGTAACATACCATGTTAGAATCCATGTACCGTCAGTTATAACATGCCATGTTAGAATCCATGTACCGTCAGTTATAACATGCCATGTTAGAATCCATGTACCGTCAGTTGTAACATACCATGTTAGAATCCATGTACCGTCAGTTATAACATACCATGTTAGAATCCATGTACCGTCAGTTGTAACATGCCATGTTAGAATCCATGTACCGTCAGTTGTAACATGCCATGTTAGAATCCATGTACCGTCAGTTATAACATGCCATGTTAGAATCCATGTACCGTCAGTTATAACATACCATGTTAGAATCCTGTACCGTCAGTTAAGAATACCATGTTAGAATCCATGTACCGTCAGTTATAACATGCCATGTTAGAATCCATGTACCGTCAGTTATAACATACCATGTTAGAATCCATGTACCGTCAGTTGTAACATGCCATGTTAGAATCCATGTACCGTCAGTTATAACATGCCATGTTAGAATCCATGTACCGTCAGTTGTAACATGCCATGTTAGAATCCATGTACCGTCAGTTATAACATGCCATGTTAGAATCCATGTACCGTCAGTTATAACATACCATGTTAGAATCCATGTACCGTCAGTTATAACATACCATGTTAGAATCCATGTACCGTCAGTTATAACATGCCATGTTAGAATCCATGTACCGTCAGTTATAACATGCCATGAAATCCAACGTGTGACTGACACCATCAAAGCCCATTCTGATAATAGAACATGTTTCTCGTGAAATCCAGATGATTTGAGCCAGAAAGTGTTTGTGAAACAGTGAGGTGGTACAGTAGGATGAAACAGTGAGGCGGTACAGTAGGATGAAACAGTGAGGCGGTACAGTAGGATGAAACAGTGAGGCGGTACAGTAGGATGAAACAGTGAGGCGGTACAGAAGGATGAAACAGTGAGGCGGTACAGAAGGATGAAACAGTGAGGCGGTACAGAAGGATGAAACAGTGAGGCGGTACAGTAGCATGAAACAGTGAGGCGGTACAGTAGGATGATTGATGCAGTGGTATTGTTATTCCACATGTGGACAGTCCTTCACTCTTCCTTCTTGGCCTCTGCTGGTCGAGAAGTCGATCTGTGCAGCACCAGTAAACCCGGGAGAGTTAGAGAGATGCCCACCCACCACAGTGCTGCATGGGTCTCACCAAAGATCAGCTTCCCAACGAATGCCTAAAGACGGTACAGATGATGTAAGTGGGGATTGACAACATAAGTAGCCAATAATACTTATATCCACACAGTGATTCACAGATGTCATTGCTCCAATAATGTAGTTCCACTATGGTCTTATGGTCAACGTTCTGTCCTGTAAGTGAGTTGTTCATATAAATTGGATAGCTGAGATCTGGGGTCGTATTCATAAAGAATCTCAGAGGAGGAGTGATGCGATCTGGGGTCGTATTCATAAAATTCATTATTTATTATGATCTAAAAGGTGAAATTGATCCTAAAGTCAGCACTCCTACTCTGAGACATTTTATGAATACATGCCCTGATGGATATCAACCAGTTGCCCTACTCACAGAGGATACAAAGTTGGATGCGGTGGTGGTGACCGTGGCCCGGGCTGAGGAGGAGGAGTGTCTCAGAGCCTTGGAGAAGAAGGTCCACATCACAGCATTACTGATGAACAGTAGTCCTCCACACAGCAGCCGCAGAGGGATGTGGAGCTGAAACAACACACCACATCACAGCATTACAGTTGAACAGCAGCCGCAGAGGGATGTGGAGCCGGAATACAATAGGACTTGTTAGTGGTCTCTGGTAGAATGGTATCTCACACACACACACACACACAATTTGAAAATGATACATTCATATAGATACACATTCACCCAATCGCAGGGTGATGTTTCCTCCTGAATAATCTTGTAGTCTCCATCCTGAGCCCAGGCTTTCACCCCTGTTTTACACATCCCTTTGAGGTAGTCTGAGCCCAGAGATAGCTTGGCTGACGAGGAGGCAACGGCTCCAAGAAAGCCCGCTAATGATGCATAAAATGCACCTGAGATCATGTTTATTTAGTATCTATACTAGAGACTGTACTGTCACATATTTGACTACTTCCTTGTCTAAAAGTCTCCACTCGATTCAACCAATCAGATTCACCTCTGGGATCATGTGACCTTCAGCGGGCGCAGGGTGATGACGATTTAATGTTATGCTAAACACGACGTGCTAAACACAACCTGAAATTCCCTTGTTTCATTCATTTGTTCTAACTATCAAAATGGCTAAGATGAATAAGGGTCCGAAAGCGAACGTATCGTGGGTGAAACCAGCAGAGCCGTCATTTTTAAAGAAATTCAAGAACGATGTTGGATTTAAGGAAGGACCCACCATTGATACCAAGGTATTTCGCTAATGTGCTAGCTAGCCTATGGAAAATAGACTAGGTGGCACGTAGAGCTACAGTATATCTGTGGATATATGGCAAGCCCACTGGAGATCTACTCTATGTGCAGGTTGTTGTTCAAGCCCTGCTCTAACACCTTGATTCAGCTAGTCAAGGAACGTAATTAGCTAACTCTACAGGAGAGTTGACCACCCTCCAAAATATTTGTTTTTCTCTCACAGAATTCAATTCCTTGACTACTATAGATATTTCATTGACATGAAGGGCTATTTTTTGCAGATATGTGTACTTTTAACATGGACAGGGAGGCTGGCATGATGTCAATATGGTGATATTCAACCGTGTCTCCTTTCCTGCAGCGTCTAGAGATGCCAGCCTTGGAGGATGACAGTGGCAGTGATCGTGAAGATGAGTTGCCTCAAGTTGTCATTCTCAAAAAGGGAGATCTGAGCGCTGAAGAAGTGTTACAGATAAAAGGGGTAAAGGATGGTACAGAAAAAGGTAAGAACAATTAATTGTACAAATAAATCTGATTTTAAAAGCCTAAACTATCAAGGGAACTTGGTGTTAATTGGCGTGTGTGTCTGTACTGCGTGTGTGTCTGTACTGTGTGTCTGAACTTAATCTGCCTCTTCTCCTTGCTGCCTACAGAAGACAAGCCTCCTGCGGACGGCAAGATCCTGTTCAAGAAGCCCACGAAGCGCTCCTCAGACAAGTTCCAGGGCATCACCGCCAGCTCTAGCAAGAAGAAGAAGAGTGAAGGAAAGAGTGAAGGAAAGAGTGAAGGAGAAGATGAAGAGAAAAAGGAGAAGTCTGAAAAGAAGGTGAAAAACAAGAGTCTTCTCTCTTTCGGAGAGGATGAGGATGAGGACTAGAAGCTAATTCACTGAGGGAGTTCAGACTAGAGCAATCAACCACTCATCAGACTAGAGCAATCAACCACTCATGGATTATGGAACTGATCTACTGCGGTTGTTGGCTTTTACTATGGGCAAAAAGACCCAACGTAGAATAGCTCCACATTGTAGTTTGTCCCACTAGACCAGGGTTCTTCAATTCCGGTCCTGGAGGGCCGAAACACCTCTGTTTTTCATCCTCTCCTTCTAATCAGGGGCTAATTCAGACCTGGGACACCAGGTGAGTGCAATTAACTACCAGGTAGAAATAAAAAACAGAAGTGTTTCAGCCCTCCAGGACCGGAATTGAAGAACCCTGCACTAGACTAAGATCCTTAGACATTACGGGTCATCCCTTCTTTTGGAGGTGGAATCTGGACATGTATCTGAAACAAAGCCCTTCATCACATTCATGATCAGATCTTTAGATACATAAGATGCATGCTGTTATTCTTTATCGACTATGAGACATGTCTCTGCTGTTGGAAATTGTATAGTGACTCACTGTTGGCCTATTATCCATTCATTACAACTGTAGTCATCCGTCCTTCAGTGGACCCTCTGGACTTTTCATATAGCCAACACAGGGTCTGGATCTAAGATTTATCAAGGTAACCCTTGTGAAAACAGCTACTAATGGGAAGAAATTAGCTGGTGGCTTTGGTCAAAAATATAGTCTGGAGCGTTGATGTGATAATTTTCTACTTCTACAGTCAATAATTCATTGGATGTACAAATATGTTTTAGCTTCGACAACGGAGCTTCAAAATATGTTTAAGTTAAACAATGCATTGTTGTTTATGCCAAGGTGTTGGATTGTGCTATGTGATTGTATTGTAGTGATTGTATTGTAGTGTGCGTTTTTTTAAATGATGGTTTTAGTTGAATAAGTATGAAATGTAACAATTAAAATACATTAAGGCCTTACAATAGTATTATGTTATAGTTTGTTCTGTATAAAGCAGGTCTGTAAATAGGTCCTTTTGAAAGAATGCTTCTCATAGCAAATACCTTTACAGTTTTCACAATATGCAGAAGAAGGTCAGTGAAAACAGAGACATACATTTTTATTCCCAAAGAAAGTAGTGTTACATTTTACATTTAAACCTTACGAGAACATGTCGCCCTTCAAATCACAGAGGACTGATTTAGTTACCAGGATGATAAATCACAGAGGACTGATTTTAGTTACCAGGATGATAAATCAGAGGACTGATTTAGTTACCAGGATGATAAATCACAGAGGACTGATTTAGTTACCTAGTTAGTTAAACTGATAAGAAGGATGGATTTTGAGGTTACAATCACAAGCAAAATAAAAGGCAAAGTTAATATCAAGTAACCACACTCCATAACCTTTGGCTGTAACGTGTTGGTCTGTCTAATCATCTACTGAATGCTGATCATAAGTAGGCTGACTACATACTGTATGTATATACACTTTTAAAGTAGTGGAACATGCTCCTTTGAAAATACATTCAAATCCAAATGGGCCTAGTCCCTGTTAACCTGGTCTGTTGGTGCTCTTGCCAACTCCATTGCTGTCATTGCCATGACAATGAGTGACAAGGATTTGGCATGATGCCACAAACAGACTGGCACCCAGGCTAAGCCCCTGGCAGTCGAACTGGCACTCAGGCTAAGCCCCTGGCAGTCGAACTGGCACTCAGGCTAAGCCCCTGGCAGTCGAACTGGCACTCAGGCTAAGCCCCTGGCAGTCGAACTGGCACTCAGGCTAAGCCCCTGGCAGTCGAACTGGCACTCAGGCTAAGCCCCTGGCAGTCGAACTGGCACTCAGGCTAAGCCCCTGGCAGTCGAACTGGCACTCAGGCTAAGCCCCTGGCAGTCGAACTGGCACTCAGGCTAAGCCCCTGGCAGTCGAACTGGCACTCAGGCTAAGCCCCTGGCAGTCGAACCTGTAAAAGGCATCTTCCATCATAATCGACCCACAATACCTGACGTCAGTAAACCACATCAGCTGATATAGGGAAACAAATTAAACCCCTTTTTAATAATGGTATAAAAACAAAACACATTGAAATAATTGCCTACCTACCGCCTGAATGCAGTAGGGTACAGGTACTATAGTTTTTAGACTCTTGCCATTCACAAATGTATCTGTCAATCACTACACTCTTAGAATTAGTGGTGACTCGAGGAACCCCTGGAGTTCCTCAAGAACCTGTGCAAATCCCAAAGTTGGAATAGTTCCCGCTTTATTAGTGTATGTAATCAGCAATGTTAATATTATGAATATTATATTAGAATATGTTAATATGCATAAATATTCAAGGAACATTTTAATTTGCAGTGTACAAACTTAACATGAACAGGAATGGCATTTACGCTAACGGGTGACCGAAAATAACTATCTGAAAGCAATGCCTCCAATAAGCCATGCCTTCAATCTGATAGGCTGCCACCTCTACAATATATCATTAAAAAGGTTAAAAAATAGAACCCATACCGTCACAAAAAGGTTCCAGGAGTTTAAAATGTAAAGGTTCCGCCGGTGTGGCAAACCAAAAGGATCTTCCAGGCACCTTTACTTTTCAGAGTGTATAATGAACAGTGGTGACCCGTCATTCATTGAGCCCAACCTTTATAGGGGGTGCCTGTTTTGCATGTTATTTTTGGAATTATTAGGTGTCACATATCAGTTTGCAAACAATGTAAAAAAAAAAAATATATATATATATAACAAACAAAACAACTTTTTTGCTTTCTTGTGTAAGGCAGCTCAAAAATGCAGTTGTTTCAGCCTAGCTCAGTGCTTTCTGTGGTGGTGGGGCAGCCAGCGGAAAATACGGAGCGTAGCCGCCAAATCTAAGGGTAGGGCTCGAAAATTCAAGCCCCTTGGGTGCTGCCATAGAGTTACATTAGAAGTGCCCATCCAAGAAGGCTCAAGGTCATTGGCCACAGTCCCGTGTAGCTCAGTTGGTAGAGCATGGCGTTTGCAACGCCAGGGTTGTGGGTTCGATTCCCACGGGGGGCCAGTATGAAAATGTATGCACTCACTAACTGTAAGTCGCTCTGGATAAGAGCATCTGCTAAATGACTAAAACGTAAAATGTTATATCTACAGCAGCTTTGATTGGACTGATCATGTCAACATCATACTTTCAAAATCTTAGCTAGCAAGCTAGCAGTCATCATCATGAATGAAGTCGACAATCTACTGGCAAATCCCTTTTAATCCTTGTCATATAGAGATAAATAATGAAGAGAAATTATAGATCAAACGTATCGGTGCTCATCGGTATTGGACATAAACATTACACAACAAGTTGGAAATCGCAAATTCAACAATGAGTGGTTTGGAAGGAATCAGTGGCTAACTGCAAGCATTGCAAAGCAATCACTAGCCTGCTATTCAGTGGAGTGGGTGTGTGGTCCCAAGTCTAGGTTTAAGGGTCTCTTTTCCAAGTTTAAAAGGATAAACATTCAACATTGGCCATGGTCAAAACAACTGTAAACCCAGAACTGGGAAATCTGATTTCAGTGAGTTCAAGTCAACTGGGAACTCAGAAAAAAACTAGCTCCGACTGGGAAAATAGGTTTTGAACGGTCATCCAACTCGGAATTGCAAGTCGGGAACTCGGGCCTCTTTCTAGAGCTCCGACCTGAAGATCACTGACGTCATCATGATTCGACAATGTTTTTTTCAGAGTTCCCAGAATGCCAGACTTTGATGACAAAGTTTGATGACAAAATTTGCCCATGAAGGACTGCCGCGCCACCTTCCTGTTCAAGTGAGCACAGCACAACAAGGTGAGTCCAAAAATGTATTGTATGCTGCTGCATGAATGATGTAATATGACAGGGAGATACACTACCGGTCAAAAGTTTTAGAATACCTACTCATTCAAGGGTTTTTCTTTATATTTACTATTTTCTACATTGTAGAATAATAGCGAATACATCAAAACTATGAAATAACACATATGGAATAATGTAGTAACCAAAAAAGTGTTAAACAAATATTTTATATTTGAGAGTCTTTGCCTTGATGACAGCTTTGCACACTCTTGGCATTCTCTCAACCAGCTTCATGAGGTAGTCACCTGGAATGCATTTCAATTAACAGGTGTGCCTTTTTAAAAGTTGGAATTTCTTTCCTTCTTAATGCGTTTGAGCCAATCAGTTGTGCTCAAATAAGCAAAGAGAAATGACAGTCCATCATTACTTTAAGACATGAAGGTCAGTCAATAAGGAACATTTCAAGAACTTTGAAAGTTTCTTCAAGTGTAGTCGCAAAAACCATCAAGCGCTATGATGAAACTGGCTCTCATGAGGACTGCCACAGGAATGGAAGACCCAGCGTTACCTCTGCTGCAGAGGATAAGTTCATTAGAGTTACCAGTCTCAGAAATTGCAGCCCAAATAAATGCTTCACCGAGTTCAAGTAACAGACACATCTCAACATCAACTTTTCAGAGTAGACTGTGTGAATCACGCCTTCATGGTCGAATTGCTGCAAAGAAACCACTACTAAAGGACACCATTAAGAAGAAGAGACTTGCTTGGGCCAAGAAACATGAGCAATTAGACCGGTGGAAATTTGTCCTTTGGTCTGTAGTCCAAATTTGAGATTTTTGTTTCCAACCGCCGTGTCTTTGTGAGACGCGGTGTGGGTGAACGGATGATCTCCGCATATGTATTTCCCATCGTAAAGCATGGAGGAGGAGGTGTTATGGTGTGGGGGTGCTTTGCTGGTGACACTGTCTGTAATTTATTTAGAATTCAAGGCACACTTAACCAGCATGGCTACCACAGCATTCTGCAGCGATACGCCATCCCATCTGGTTTGGGCTTAGTGGGACTATCATTTGTTTTTCAACAGGACAATGACCCAACACACCTCCAGTCTGTGTAATGGATATTTTACCAAGAAGGAGAGTGATGGAGTGCTGCATCAGATGACCTGGCCTCCACAATCACCCGACCTCAACCAAATTGAGATGGTTTGGGATGAGTCGGACCGCAGAGCGAAGGAAAAGCAGCCAACAAGTGCTCAGCTTATGTGGGAACTCCTTCAAGACTGTTGGAAAAGCATTCCAGGTGAAGCTGGTTGAGAGAATGCCAAGAGTGTACAAAGCTGTCATCAAGGCAAAGGGTGGCTATTTGTAGAATCTGAAATATAATTTGATTTGTTTAACACTTTTTTGGTTACTACATGATTCCATATGTGTTATTTTATAGTTTTGATGTCTTCACTATTATTCTACAATGTAGAAAATAGTAAAAATTAAGAAAAACCCTTGAATGATTAGGTGTTCTAAAACTTTTGACTGGTAGTGTACATATACTGTAGCTAAGAAAGTAATACTAAGTGTATGTTGTGTAGTAAGCTGTTAGTAGCCCATGTGCCTCACCCTAATCATTTGGTCCCGTTTCCCCTCCTAATTTCGCCTACTGTTCTGACTTGGTGGTGCACAGCCTGTTTTAGAGAAATGTAATCATCGAATATTGTAAGAGCTTTCATTGTCTGCTTATATTCCCCCTTTATTTATCGTACGATTCTGACTTGGTGTACAGGGAGAATACTGTAAGAACGGCCCAGGTTCTGAATTCTGTCGCTGTTCATTTCAAAAGTGCTGAACAAATAGTTATATTGACTACGTCCGTCCTAGCTCGCTCATTAATGTCTTAATCGATATTACGGATTGCCTCTTATCCGCTCGTCGTCCCCTTATGCCATAGTTTGTACATCTCAATTGTCAGTAGAACCCACATTTGTTTAAGCAAGTCAGCCGTATCAGCTATGTTTTTTTTAAAGGCATTAAATGAGGCTGAATGAACTGTTTCGCTGCCAGACCAGGCTCCGCTGATAGCCAGGTGTAGCAGTGGTAAGGTGTTGAGACTGCTGTTGGGACAGCTTTATGTAGGCCCTAACAGTTTGTGGGCACCGTTTGTCACCGTTATAGTGCAATTAATGTATTGTTTTGTGTTGTGTAGTGGGTTTGCTGGCATGCATCAAACAATTGTATTTATTATTTTTTTTTATTGCCACTGATAATGATTGGGGATTTAAATTAGTGCGGCACGGACTGCATTTTCATTTTTCCCCGAGTGCACTCGTTCCCTTTGTAAAAACAAATGATGACTCCATTGGGATTGACTGTAAAGTAATGTCATTAAAATGATGTGAAAGTCAGTGAAACAGTATAAAATGACAGAAGTTCCCTCTGGGAAAAATGAAGTAATTCCATACTATTCTAACTAACGATTTTGAAATGGGCCACTGAAACGAATGACTTCTCACAAAGGTAATTATGTTCTAACACCCTCCCCCCTAACTGAAAGGGCATTGTCAAGTCTTGACAGCATGATTCAATAAGGAAATCACAAAAAGCGCAATTGAGACAGATGCTGGCTGGTGTCCATAGATAGAGCCACTTTTGAGCCCTAATGGCTGGCTAGTAGCATCGGAGGTCATTTCGGTTCAATAACACTGAAGGAAACTGACATCCCACCCGTAGATATCGTATGTCAACGTGAGGTACTAATTCACCATAGACACTTAGCAGCAGCCGAGGCTCATCACTTTAACACAACAATACTGTAAATAGCATCTACTCTGTAACTTTTGGTCCCTAAACCTTGAAGGGTAGGGTCGGTCGGTCGGTCGGTCGGGGGGAGGAGAGGGAGGGAGGGAGGGAGGGAGGGAGGGAGGGAGGAGAGAGGGGAGGGGGAGGGAGGGAGAGAGGAGGGGAGGGAGGGAGGGAGGGAGGGAGAGAGAGAGAGGGGAGGGAGGGAGGGAGGGAGGGAGGGAGGGGAGGGAGGGAGGGCGGGCCCTTGTTTGAGAGAACAGCTCCTCTATGGATAGAGGTCAGAGGAGAGCAGCTGGAGAGGAGAGATAGAGGTCTGATTGCTATCTGAGGTTAGCCTAGCATACCTAGCTAGCTGCACTCACAGGTGCTCTGGGTGCCTCTGTAGACAGGAGATCATTTCCTGTACCGGCTTGCCCTCGAAAACAGATCTGATACACCGCCACAAACAGAGGGAACCTGGGAAAGACACAACAGAATGACACAGGGTTAAAATGGAAGGATACAACCACCTCTCTCTCTCTCTCTCTCCCCCATCATAAGTCTGGGCTCATGGTTGGGACCACAGGGCAATACAGGTGGAATGAGTGACAGACTACATTTGGCTAGGTACTGTATCTGGATCGATCAGAGACAGAGAGGGACTCACTTGTCCACCAGTCCCTTCTGTTTGAGGATGTGGTATACTTCAGCTGAGGTAGCAGGACCCTGGAGCTTCTGTCCATTCAACATCTCCTGCTCCAGTCTAGTCTAGCATATACCATGGAGAGTCAGTCTATATGTTACAGACTGAAATTGACAATTACCTGTATCTATGTAGGAGTCAGGTCTATACTGTTTACTAACTGAATACATACTTTACCCTGTACTGTACGGCTATATGTTTACTAACGAAAACATGAAATATGACCATGTATCTATGTAGGAGTTAGGCCTATACGTTTACTAACTGAAAAACTTCACATTTCTGAATGAAACAACACATTATTTTGATTTGTAACTTTGACAAGTGGTCAGTCAGCCGGCACTAACCATCCCAGATCTGGTGTAGAGTTGAACGTTTGTCCTTACCTTTCCTGTCTTGGCGAATGCCTCGGCCACGCGTCGGTTTGCGTCCTCCATAGAAAGGTCGTGATGAGGTCAGCCACGCCGCAGCTCTCCAGGAAAGTTGCAGAGGAGACGACGCCATCTTTACTGAAGAGCTTAGCGAAGGCTATCATCTCCATCAGCCCTAGTCTGATTACTGCTGCCTTGGTGTTGTCACCACACCTCGGCCCATCACAGAACCCTGCTCCTACCGCTACGATGTTCTGAGGAAGAGAGACGAAAACATAGAGGTAATAGGTTATTACTATGTCATTACCATTCTACAATGGCAGTATCCATTTTACCATGCACGCACACACACACACACACACACACGCTGGGCTGGGTACTTAAGAGTTACCTTCAGTGCTCCACAGAGCTCTACAGTGTCTTAGAGTTACCTTCAGTGCTCCACAGAGCTCTACAGTGTCTTAGAGTTACCTTCAGTGCTCACAGAGCTCTACAGTGTCTTAGAGTTACCTTCAGTGCTCCACAGAGCTCTACAGTGTCTTAGAGTTACCTTCAGTGCTCCACAGAGCTCTACAGTGTCTTAGAGTGTACCTTCAGTGCTCCACAGAGCTCTACAGTATCTTAGAGTTACCTTCAGTGCTCCACAGAGCTCTACAGTGTCTTAGAGTACCTTCAGTGCTCCACAGAGCTCTACAGTGTCTTAGAGTTACCTTCAGTGCTCCACAGAGCTCTACAGTGTCTTAGAGTTACCTTCAGTGCTCCACAGAGCTCTACAGTGTCTTAGAGTTACCTTCAGTGCTCCACAGAGCTCTACAGTATCTTAGAGTTACCTTCAGTGCTCCACAGAGCTCTACATTATCTTAGAGTTACCTTCAGTGCTCCACAGAGCTCTACAGTATCTTAAAGTTACATTCAGTGCTCCACAGAGCTCTACAGTGTCTTAGAGTTACCTTCAGTGCTCCACAGTGTCTTAGAGTTACCTTCAGTGCTCCACAGAGCTCTACAGTATCTTAGAGTTACCTTCAATGCTCCACAGAGCTCTACAGTGTCTTAGATTTACCTTCAGTGCTCCACAGAGCTCTACAGTGTCTTAGAGTTACCTTCAGTGCTCCACAGAGCTCTACAGTGTCTTAGATTTACCTTCAGTGCTCCACAGAGCTCTACAGTGTCTTAGAGTTACCTTCAGTGCTCCACAGAGCTCTACAGTGTCTTAGAGTTACCTTCAGTGCTCCACAGAGCTCTACAGTGTCTTAGAGTTACCTTCAGTGCTCCACAGAGCTCTACAGTATCTTAGAGTTACCTTCAGTGCTCCACAGAGCTCTACAGTGTCTGCGTCGTCCACCACTGTGATCCTGAAGTTAGGAGTCTGCAGGAGCTCCTTGAAGAGCCGTGCTCCATGATCTTACTGTCTGGTGAAGCAACACGTTTTACATCCATCACACAGCCAGCCTATCACTCCATCTCTGGCCTGGCTTTGTATTATTTTTTGTATTATTATTATTTATTTTCTTGTCATTTAGCAGACGCTCTTATCCAGAGCGACTTACAGTTACATTATTTTTTTTAAATTTTTAATTTTTCATACTGGCCCCCCGTGGGAATCGAACCCACAACCCTGGCGTTGCAAACGCCATGCTCTACCAACTGAGCTACATCCCCTGCCGGGCATTCCCTCCCCTACCCTGGACGACGCTGGGCCAATTGTGCGCCGCCCCATGGGTCTCCCGGTCGTGGCCGGCTACGACAGAGCCTGGTTTCGAACCAGGATCTCTAGTGGCACAGCTAGCACTGCGATGCAGCGCCTTAGACCACTGCGCCACTCGGGAGACATTATTACTATATATCTCATGCCATATAGTTATCAAATTACTTCACAGCTTCGTTTTACATTCCTGTATACAAATGTCTATGCATTATGTTGATAAATGAGGCTGGGTTATTCTTACCGATGGTGGTCTCACAGAACTTCTCTGCTGCCACCTCGTTGGCGATGTTAGCTCCCATTAGAACACTGACGTCTATAGTTATGAACTTCTCTGCTGCCACCTCGTTGGCGATGTTAGCTCCCATTAGAACACTGACGTCTATAGCCATCTTCTCCCTGATTATGTCAGAGATGAGCTTCAGGCCCTCCGGACCCTCGTCTATTCCCTGTGGGGACAGGAGACAGCTAAATCACTATGGTTTACTGGTTCACTCGTGTTTTTCATTCGATTTGTTTACAGGGCAAAGTGAGAGAAAAGATAAAAGGAAGACAGCCATCTGAAAGAGGACATTGACAGAGAGAGGAGTGAGGAAGCAGCTATTCCCTGTGAAGAGAGAGGAGTGAGGAAGCAGCTATTCCCTGTGAAGAGAGAGGAGTGAGGAAGCAGCTATTCCCTGTGAAGAGAGAGGAGTGAGGAAGCAGCTATTCCCTGTGAAGAGAGAGGAGTGAGGAAGCAGCTATTCCCTGTGAAGAGAGAGGAGTGAGGAAGCAGCTATTCCCTGTGAAGAGAGAGGAGTGAGGAAGCAGCTATTCCCTGTGAAGAGAGAGGAGTGAGGAAGCAGCTATTCCCTGTGAAGAGAGAGGAGTGAGGAAGCAGCTATTCCCTGTGAAGAGAGAGGAGTGAGGAAGCAGCTATTCCCTGTGAAGAGAGAGGAGTGAGGAAGCAGCTATTCCCTGTGAAGAGAGAGGAGTGAGGAAGCAGCTATTCCCTGTGAAGAGAGAGGAGTGAGGAAGCAGCTATTCCCTGTGAAGAGAGAGGAGTGAGGAAGCAGCTATTCCCTGTGAAGAGAGAGGAGTGAGGAAGCAGCTATTCCCTGTGAAGAGAGAGGAGTGAGGAAGCAGCTATTCCCTGTGAAGAGAGAGGAGTGAGGAAGCAGCTATTCCCTGTGAAGAGAGAGGAGTGAGGAAGCAGCTATTCCCTGTGAAGAGAGAGGAGTGAGGAAGCAGCTATTCCCTGTGAAGAGAGAGGAGTGAGGAAGCAGCTATTCCCTGTGAAGAGAGAGGAGTGAGGAAGCAGCTATTCCCTGTGAAGAGAGAGGAGTGAGGAAGCAGCTATTCCCTGTGAAGAGAGAGGAGTGAGGAAGCAGCTATTCCCTGTGAAGAGAGAGGAGTGAGGAAGCAGCTATTCCCTGTGAAGAGAGAGGAGTGAGGAAGCAGCTATTCCCTGTGAAGAGAGAGGAGTGAGGAAAGCAGCTATTCCCTGTGAAGAGAGAGGAGTGAGGAAGCAGCTATTCCCTGTGAAGAGAGAGGAGTGAGGAAGCAGCTATTCCCTGTGAAGAGAGAGGAGTGAGGAAGCAGCTATTCCCTGTGAAGAGAGAGGAGTGAGGAAGCAGCTATTCCCTGTGAAGAGAGAGGAGTGAGGAAGCAGCTATTCCCTGTGAAGAGAGAGGAGTGAGGAAGCAGCTATTCCCTGTGAAGAGAGAGGAGTGAGGAAGCAGCTATTCCCTGTGAAGAGAGAGGAGTGAGGAAGCAGCTATTCCCTGTGAAGAGAGAGGAGTGAGGAAGCAGCTATTCCCTGTGAAGAGAGAGGAGTGAGGAAGCAGCTATTCCCTGTGAAGAGAGAGGAGTGAGGAAGCAGCTATTCCCTGTGAAGAGAGATGTGAGAGATGTTACTACTGTTTCTATCTGTTTTGGATGTGTTTGTAACTAAAAAGATCCATTCAGAGACACATAGAGACAGAGTCAGACTGCTGTCTCAACTCCACACATGGGGGCTTGTCACTGACAGACAGACAGACAGACAGACAGACAGACAGACAGACAGACAGACAGACAGACAGACAGACAGACAGACAGAAGAGACAGAGAGACAGACAGCCAGAAAGGACAGAGAGACAGAAAGGACAGAGAGTCAGAGAGACAGACAGAAAGGACAGAGAGTCAGACAGAAAGGACAGAGAGACAGAGAGACAGACAGAAAGGACAGAGAGTCAGACAGCCAGAAAGGACAGAGAGACAGAGAGACAGACAGAAAGGACAGAGCGTCAGAGAGACAGCCAGAAAGGACAGAGAGTCAGAGAGACAGACAGAAAGGACAGAGAGTCAGACAGCCAGAAAGGACAGAGAGACAGAGAGACAGACAGAAAGGACAGAGCGTCAGAGAGACAGACAGAAAGGACAGAGAGTCAGAGAGACAGACAGAATGGACAGAGCGTCAGAGAGACAGACAGAAAGGACAGAGAGTCAGAGAGACAGACAGAAAGGACAGAGAGTCAGAGAGACAGACAGAAAGGACAGAGAGTCAGAGAGACAGCCAGAAAGGACAGAGAGTCAGAGAGACAGACAGAAAGGACAGAGAGTCAGACAGCCAGAAAGGAACAGAGAGTCAGAGAGACAGACAGAAAGGACAGAGAGTCAGACAGCCAGAAAGGACAGAGAGTCAGACAGACAGAAAGGACAGAGAGTCAGAGAGACAGACAGAAAGGACAGAGAGTCAGAGAGACAGACAGAAAGGACAAGGAAGCAGAGAAAGACAGACAGAAAGACCAGAGGCGACAAGAGACAGACAGACAGAACAGAGAGTAAGAGAGACAGACAGAAAGGACAGAGAGCAGAGAGACAGACGAACACAGAGCGTCAGAGAGACAGCAGAAAGGACAGAGAGACAGAGAGACAGACAGACAGAAAAGGACAGAGACAGACAGCCAGACAAGGACAGGAGACAGACAGACAGACAGACAGAAAGGACAGAGAGTCAGAGAGACAGACAGAAAGGACAGAGAGTCAGAGAGACAGATAGAAAGGACAGAGAGTCAGACAGAAAGGACAGAGAGTCAGAGAGACAGAAAAGGACAGAGAGCAGAGAACAGACAGACAGAAAGGACAGAGAGTCAGAGAGACAGACAGAAAGGACAGACAGGACAGACAGAGAGATAGACACAGACAGACAGGACAGAGACACAGAGAGACACAGACAGACAGACAGGACAGACAGATAGACACAGACAGACAGGAAGAGACAAGAGACAGACAGACAGACAGACAGACAGACAAGACAGACAGAACAGAGAAGACAGATAGAGACGAAGACAGACAGACAGACGCAGACGAGACAGACAGACAGAGAGATAGACACAGACAGACAGGACAGAGACAGAGAGACAGAGACAGACAGACAGACAGACAGACAGACAGAAAGGACAAGAAGATCAGAGAGACAGACAGAAGGACAGAGAACAGAGAGACAGACAGAAAGGACAGAGATGACAGACAGGACAGAGAGATCAGGAGACGAGACAGAGGACAGAGAGAACAGAGAGACAGACAGACAGAAAGGACAGAGACAGAGAGACAGACAGACAGACAGACAGAGTCAGAGAGACAGACAGACAGGACAGAGAGACAGAAGACAGAGAGACAGAGAGACAGACAGAAGACAGACAGACAACAGACAGGAAGATAGACAGACAGACAGAAAGGACAGAGACAGAAAGGACAGAGAGACAGACAGACAGAGAGACAGAAAGGACAGAGAGACAGACAGACAGAGAGACAGAAAGGACAGACAGACAACACTACAGTAGATCCAGTTAGCTCCTCTACTCCCTCTGACATTAGCCTACTCCCTCTGATGCTAACTCAATCTGGGACAGGGATGGGAGTACCGAGAGGAGAGCATATCATGTCCCAGCAAACATCACTCTTGAAATATCCAAACATCATAAGCCAGACGTGGGAGCTTAGCTGCCCTGGAGAGACAGAACCAGCTGGTGAAAGAAACAAACTAGGCCAACCAAGGCCCTGTGGACTCGCTTTTTGTGACACTGAGTACAAACACTTCCTAAATAACTAGAACCTTGCAGAAGTAGTTGTAACTGATTTAAGACTAGGCATGAATAAATGAATAGACAGTAGAGAGAGAGCAGGCTAATGAGAGAGAGTAGCCTATTAAAAGGAATCCCAACACCATAATAGTCTGATTACATTCTTGGAGAATGAGAAGACCATCCTCTCCACTAAAATACATGAGCCTGTAGATCATTACGTAGCATTAGTTATAAAAGCCTCTCCACTAAAACACATGAGCCTGTAGATCATTACGTAGCATTAGTTATAAAAGCCTCTCCACTAAAATACATGAGCCTGTAGATCATTACGTAGCATTAGTTATAAAAGCCTCTCCACTAAAACAAAGCTTCTCAGAATCCCCTGGCTTCTCAACCACACAAATCCCTCTTTACAAAGGTCCTGCTGTGGCCCAATCCAGAGGTTTAATACAAGGTCCTGCTGTGGCCCAATCCAGAGGTTTAATACAAGGTCCTGCTGTGGCCCAATCCAGAGGTTTAAACCAGCCCCTTTAGCCTCTCCAGTGCTGGACGTTCAACTCTTTCAGCTCTGTTACCACAACACATGGATTTCACCACGCACTAAACCTCTCTGTTGTCATGGATAGGAGGATATTAACCCTGTCTGTCTGGCTGTCTGGCTGGCTGTTGGTAATAACAGTCAACAGTCTCAAAAAAAGGCCAGAGCTGAGCAGAACAGAGTAGACTGCTGTTGTAGAACAGCTTTTAGTGGGTCGTATTCCCACAAGTATCAGGACGTCAGCTCGCAGCTCTGACTTATACAAGAACATACAGAGTGACAGACAGAGTGACAGACAGAGTGACTGAGAGACAGACAGAGTGACTGACAGAGTGACTGAGAGACAGACAGAGTGACTGACAGAGTGACTGAGAGACAGACAGAGTGACTGACAGAGTGACTGACAGACTGAGAGACAGACTGACTAGGGTTGAATATTTTCCCGGTATTTTACAAACGTTTGATCCCAAGAATAAATCACTTTTCTCCCGGGTAACCCGGTATTTCCTGCCAAAACCGGAAGTGTCATTCAAAAGCATTATAAAGCATATAAATGTCTGGATTTGATTAGAGCTTTGATCAGCGTGAATATTGAAACCTGATGCTACCTGAGCCTGATGAGCCATATTTTAAATACATTTTATGAGCCCTACATTAACGGTATTTAATGAGCCCAAGCCCCAAAAAAGCCCAAATGATTGTGTCGTTATCCAATACATATATGATAAATGGGCTACTGCCCATAGATGTAGCTAGCTATATAAAAGCCCATAGATGTAGCTAGCTATATAAAAGCCCATAGATGTAGCTAGCTATATAAATCCCATAGTTGTAGCTAGCTATATAAAGCCCATAGATGTAG